CTCTTGTTTGCCAGTAACATCTAAATAGGAATTCTCTTGGATAATAATGAATTTAAAAGAAATTTTGAGTTATAATTATCTTGTACTAACATTTGAATAAGCATCATATGTGGTTTATGAACGCTCCCCAATGTGATTTAAAACAAATTTCACAAAAATGTTTATCCCTCTGCTTTAAAATAAATTATATTTCCCGCATAATTAAATTGCTTTAATAAAAAAATTGCCTTAAATGTAAAAAGTGAATTTTGTTGGAACAAGGTAGGATGAAAAAGGGACAAGAATTAAATGCTGGAAGTCTCGAAAAAAATTGTCCTCAACCCTTTGACGTTCGCGAGAAAAAGAAAGGAAAAACGAGTAATGAAATGAGAAAAAAATAGTCGTGCTTGAAAGGAGCGCACTTTTATTACACGGAAATGCACATACGGTACATGTGGAAGCCAGTACAGAGAGTCCCACGGTCGATAAAAATCACCGCAGCTGTTACTTGGAGCTCACGAGCGCAAACACGAGACCAACGCAAAACTAACGCCTATAGGGCATCAGAGATATTTACATCTCATTTATTTGTTGTCCCAGTCTTTAAACTCGTCACAGGGAACATTTCCTTTTGAACCCTGCTGTCCGGCTTGAATTACATTCATCCAATGAGGCACTAAAATATATGCAACATATAGAAATCTTGAGTGACTGCAGATTAACGAGGTTGTTGAGAGTTTACCAAACTTTTTGCAAACGTGACGTACTATTTTCCTTCCTGATGAAACAAATTAGTTTTCCATGAAAAAAGCATTCCTATGTCATTCATAAAAGGTAATGAACTTTAAATAGAAAGAAATATTCTTGAAACGTGTTATTAAGACGATGAAAAATTATTTTCAAAATAAATAACTTTAAACTCCTTTGAATTTTCTAAATTCTCTATAAAACTTAATTAGAAACTATTTAGATTTAAAGAACATAATATAATAATGTGAAAATTTTATAAAATCAGTGTGTGATTATGATCTGAACTTTGTGGAGGAGTTGACAATAAATGGGGTGTTCCATAGATATAATTCTTGTAATTATATCTTTTTGTAGTTTGTAAATTATTTTTCTCTCGGGAATAGTAACTTTACCCGTTTTTCAACAGATTTTAGTCTGAACTTATTCTGTCGAATCAAAATTGAAAATGACTTCTTTACAAAATATGTATAAATAATTTTGTTATCTAGAGCAGTAGTCTTTGCCGTCCATGATAAAAATTCCGGACTGTTTCCACACTAATTTGGAATTATTCCAAAACAGTCAGGTTTTTGTCATCCGGAATTAGTCCGGATAAATCCGAAATTTGTCCGATTTGTTTAACTAGTGAATACGGAATTAATCTGGTCTAATACGAAGTCAGTTTGATCAAACGTAACTACTGAATGCAGATTCTAGATTTACTGATTACACAGGCCGGGTTAATTTCGGATTCAATATAAAAGTAATTTTGCATTTCTTAGTTGTGTATGCTCCGATTAATTTCGGATTAGACCGGATTAAATAGTTACATAAATAATACTAATTTTGGACTTAACCAGACTAATTCCGGATAATAGAAACCCGACTCTAAAGCGGACTATTTCGGACTAATTCCACATTTCGAAATATTAACCAAAGTAGAGACAATTGGTCAGAAAGCAGCATGTCTTTTACGCTGACAGTGAACAGTACTTATAGTACTTTTTAGACTCATCTCAACTGTGAGAGAACTGCACTTGGCGGCATGAGTAGGAACTGTAATAAAAGCAGCAAAACTTAACTAAATCTATATTATTGAGAACTAATTCCGGATATAATACATACAGAATGTCGGATTATACCAGACTAATTTCGGATTCAGATTTTTAAACGGACTGAATCTATCTAGATTGTACGAAAACAGTCCAAAAATGATATGAAATATTCCAAAATTAGTGCGGACAAAAAAATAAATATGAGATATGTATAGGTAGTCCGAAACTTATATGAAATCAGTCAGTAAAAATTAGATTCTAGGTCGATCAAAAAACTTAATCTAAAGTGAGTCTGGAATAATTCGAAGTTTGTATGTAAGAAATTCGTTATTCGTCAGCAACAATCCGACATTAATCTGGTTTAACATCTTAGTCCGAAATGGAGCCGGAAAAATCCGGAATTTATATGTACAAAATCATCATTGTTGTGGACTAATTCCAAATTTTTTACATACAGATTTTCAATTCAGATTTAAGAACTAACAAAATCCGGATTCGTTACACACAGATTGCCTACTAATTTGGACTCCTTTCTGATTAAGATTTTTGTTCAAACTGCGACTGTTGATTTTGTACATATTAATTCCGAATTTTTCCAAGCTCATTTCGGATTAGGATTTTTAACCAGATTAAATCAGGATTACTGTGGACTAATACCGGATTTTCCACATAAAGAATTCAGATTATTACGGACTCATTTTGGATTCATGTTTTTAACAGTACATACAGATTCTGAATTATTCTGGACTCATTTTGGATTGTTTTTTGATCTAACTAAAATCAAATTATTGCGAACTAATTGCGGATTCATTTCATGTCAATTTCGGACTATTCTGAACTGATCTTGGATTTATCTTTGCATCCAGACTGATTGCTCATTAATACGGATAATTTTCGGATTGTTTTCGTATAATTTGTGGACTAATCCGGACTGATTTGTCTGTATTCAATCTGAAATCAGTCTGAAATTTTAACCAGTGGTACGAATACTTTTGTGGCCGAAAGTTAGACACAGTTTTAAATATTAAAAGATTTTGTAAAACCAAATTAGTGGCGTACGAATATATATTGAAGCCACTCTGTGTAGCGAAATTTCGCCAATTTCTTACATATCTGCTTAGATAAAATCTATTAACTAGAAGTGTCGCGAAATTTAAATTCATACACATTGTCATTAAAGATATATATATATATACGTAACTTTCAAATGGAATACAAAATGCATCTAAGAAATCTCATCTGTGATATAACCATTAGCTTTTGGTACACATAACCAACTGGCATTACATCCAAGGGTGTAAGGGGAAGCAATAATTTTATTGGAAACCACCACACCTTGCATTTTACAACCAAGGAATGCAAACTACCTTGGACATGTGCCAGGAGATCCTGCCCATTGAGATGTTATACGACCACGAACCTCTTTGCAAACAACTCGAACGCTCCATTTACCTCAAAATTAGTTTTAAGACCATTTTTCCGTCACAAACGACTTCGACTGAATTTTTAAAAAGACTTTAACCACAGTAAGAGAAGTAATATAATTGTTTTAGGGTAAAAAGGACATGACGAAGAATCGAAAATAGAAAAGTTTCATGTCCTCCATTTTGAATTTTTAAAAACTGACATCGAATCTGGTAATTAACGATTCCAAAAATTTCCAAGTAACCATTTTCACTATCTTGGAATAACTTAATTTCATAGTTTATTATTTTGTTGCAAATCTTACAAAAAACAAATTATTGTTTTTCTTGTTATAATTAAAAAATGGTTAATAATGTATTGCTGTATAAGTTTTGTTTGCAAAGTATTATAAATTTGTGGATCACTAACGTTTAGAAAACAAAAATATTACAATTTTTGACAAAATTATGAAGTTTTGAATGCTAAATTGTTTTCGATCGAAGCCACTGGCGTTAAAGGGTTAAACCCAAGCAAAAATTTACAACTGGCACAGTGTTGCACCAGTACTGGCAATTACTGGCAAAGTACTGACCGCCAATATTGAACCAATACTGGCATATGTTTGGAATGATAACGTTTATTAGTACTGGTCATTAGTAATGGCTTAGTACTGGCGTTTACTACTGGTTCAATACTGGAATTTAGCTGTAATTCTGTATTTTGCCAGTACGGGCAAAATTATAGTAACCAGTAATAAGCCAGCACTGGTAGATATTCAAAATTCAGGGTTCTTTTTGCTTTTTACATTAACTGAGCAGCTGGATCGAAGAACCGACTCTTCGCTCGAACCGCACGCGCTCATACAATCAACTATTAATAATAATAAATTATTATAATAACTTTTAAATTGTATATTTTTATATATTAACATTTTATTCTTTATTTTATTATTCAAATTATTTCTTCAATTATTATAAAATATATATTTATTTGTATTTCTTTAAATTACCGAAATTGAATAAAATTATTGGTTAAAATAGAGTTTATTTGATTCAAATATATTTTTTCAGTGTAAGAAAAATAATTTGAGAACTTCATTAATTATGTATTTTTTTTTATTAAAAAGTTTTAATATTAAATTAAAATTTCATAATTCCGTTAACGAATGCATTTCAGTAATCGAAAAGAAGTATTAAAATAATTTTAAAAAAATATGTATGTAAATTTAATTTTTAACCAACAATAATACACAATTTTCATGTCTATTTTTACGTCGACGCTCAACGTCGAAAATTATTTTTCACGGGACCAAAAATAACAAATCATTTTTAAAAAAAGTTTTGGGTTCACATAATACCTTAAAAAGTATTTCTTAAGGCATTACATATTTGTACCGAAAATCTTTAAAAAAAAAAAATAATTTGACATTTTTGGTCCTGTGAAAAATAATTTTTGGCGCTGAGCGTCAACGCCAACTTCATGTAGGTTAATTTTCATAATTTTCCTGGATACTGGCATTCGGTATTGAATTAATACTGACCGAGTACTGGTTTGCCATTACTGTCTCAATAATACTGGCACAGTATTGGAAAATACTGGCATGCCGGTATTCGCTTGCAGTATTGGCATAGTACAGAATTTAATCCATATCAGTACTGAACCAATACTGGTAAGCCAACTGTCGGCCAGCCAGTATTGGTGCATGATTGCGCCTGTTGTCAATATCGACGTTTGACAGAAATTTTTGCTTTGGATAAGGTAGTTTTATTTATATACTTACAATAATTTTTTACATATGTATGTACGTTTATTAAAATGTAATCTCATTTTCAGCGTCATATAAAATTGAGACATGGAAGGCATAGACGACAACATGGGAATAGTCACTTACCTAAAACATACGTATTGGATCCAGATGAACCTGAGAGAGGGATTTGGGGGCCATGGTCTGATCCCAGTTCTTGTTCTCGCACCTGTGGGGGTGGAGTTCAATATCAGCAAAGGGATTGTTTAGACATAGAGTAAGTTGATTGATTACTGAAATATTATTTATTTCTATATTTGCTAAAGGATATTTAATTTTAATATACCCAAGTGGAAAGATTTTAAAAGCGGAAATAAGTAAAATAAATAAAATAGGAATCTACTGAAAAAAACAACTGTTAACTGATAAAAAAATTTTAATATTTGAAATAATAATAGTGATTTTAATTTTTGACGCAAAATAATTTATCCTCCGTATACAAAATATCGCCTAGAAAATTATACAAACTTGATTATAATCTCGGCAGACGTTTGAAGCTCGTTAAACGCTTTTTAAGATTCTATAAGTTTTTAAAAGTTCCCTTCGTTGGATAAGAAACTGTAGTAAAGAAGAGTTTAAAAAAGGTGAAACAGTTTTCGCGAGAAAGCTCATTAACTTATAATAAATACTGCACAAACCGAAAGCTAAACTTTTTCGCTAAATAAATAATTTTGACTTATATATATATTTTTTTTTTAAAGTAGCAAACATATAAACGTTACGCTTGGATTTTATTGAGTCTATAATAAGAAATTTAAATATATTTCTTTAAGTTTAATGATTTTTCTATTTATTCTAAAAAAATAGTTTTTTGACATTAAAAAAACTCTTCTTAACAATAATATTAATGTAATAATTTTTTCTTGCTTTTGAAAAAAAATTTTCTATCAATCTACTGTTTAAAAATCATTCTTTCTGCAACTCAAATAAGAAAGTCTAGAAACTTGAATATGATTTATTTATGACAGAGAAACGGTGCATAGGAATGTAATAAAAGAGACATTTTTTAAGTTAATAAAACTATTTTTAGAATAATTATTTCTATATCTCTCCATCATATTGTATATTTTTTATCGAATATATTTATAGCTTTTTTGTCAGAAATATCCAATTAAAATTTTTAGTGACTTAAGAGTAACAAATTAAATTCTTTTTAAAATAAAATCAGAAAAACAAGGTCGATATGAAAGAGAATTTTCCTTCCATCCAAAGAGAGTCGTCATATCAATATATATATATATATATATATACCGGCACTGAAAATTCAAAAGAGAGCGATTATTTTTCTGCTCGTAGATCGGATTTCTGCTCTCGCGCGTATCGCCGAAAATGATTTACGAGCGAAAAAACAAACTCGTGGGTGGTTGGACGGCGGCTTTTAAAAAAACGGTAGTCCGGCATTGCTAAAGACGCGTCATTCTTGCATCTATATTGGTGAAAGCCTCAGTTGGAATTCAGAATTTTTCGCAGTAAAAGATAGTAGATGCAAATTTTTACCTTATTTCTTTATACTTCAACTTTATTTTGTACGAATTCGTGATTCTTAAGGTCGGCCTTTTCTAAAGTCTGAAAAAGGTTTGTTCCACTTTCCGGGAAGCTGATTCACACCTTTAGAAAAGAAGGACGTTAAGAGTATTACCCATCCCTTAAACTTAACGGGGTGTAAACGTAGATTACGTAATCCAACCTGAGGATCAAAGTTCAGTATATATATATATATATATAGTTTCTTCCCAGATAACCATATATATATTCAGTTGAGTAAATCAATATTGAATTTATTTTCAGTTTTTCAAAAATATTCATTTTTACCATTTTACATAAGAAGAAAATTTTCTCAGTAATGTTTTTCGAAAAAAACATTTATGACGAAGAGTGACTAATTTTTGAAAATTAGTCTGAATTGAAATTGTTTCAATTGATGCAAGCCCCGATTAGAAATAATCCGACTATTCAATGAGAAGGTGTCAGCCAATCGCTATCCTAATCGTTCATGTCTATCCTCATAGATTGTGCAATCCACACGAACACGTCTTTCATTATCGGCTTTCCGAGGATTCGCTTTGATCCTTGGGATCAACTATTCCTGTCATCCATATGACCAAAAGTACGATTATAATTATACTTTTGTCAATTTCTACAATATACGTTGCTAGTGTGGTCATATAAATAAATAAATAATCACAGGCACACAAAAAAAAGTGTTTTGGCCGAGACACTACACTAGTGTATTCCCATGTATTTTTTTCCGATGAATCCGAATTCGAAGTCAGAATTGTCCGATTGGTTCAAAATTTTGAGCTAAACTTCAAAAAACTGCTTAAAAACACGAATTAAAGTCAAATAAGTCCATTTTTTTTCTGTTACACTAATTTAGTGTTTTCGCATACATTTTCTCCCACTGAATTCGAATTTGAAGTCAGAATTGTCACATTGGTTCAAAATTTTTGAGAATTTAAAAAACTGCTCAAAGAACGAATTAAAGTCAAAAGCGGAAAATTTTTGGGCAATGACACTACGCTAGTGTATTGACTTATTTAAATTGTTTGTCGGTGGTATCGGAAGTAAATTTCCGACAAGGATATCCAAAGCTTAAGATAGAAAAAAATAGTCTTATTTTTTTTTGTAAAAATATTTGACCAAAAGTTTCGGAGTTACAGTCAATTAAAAAAAAGAAAAAATATTAGTCAGGGTTGAGCCACTGTAGAAAATTAATGAAATATGCAGATAAATGATTTTAAATACCTTCAAATAATAGAATAGCGCTCAAATACACTTGGAAATGTGTAAAGGAACCACGAAATTGAAATAAGAAACCCTTATTATGTAATTTTCAGATTTTCGCTTGTATCGCGAAGCTGGTCTGAAAAGTGAAAAAAAATATCAAACTTTGTATTTTCTTTCTTTCCAATGGAAATGAAGTTTTTGACACCTCTGTTAGTCGACAAATGAATTTCCATTGCAAGAACCCTTCATAATTGCAAAATTTTTGGGTGGCTCAACCCTGACTCAAGCGTCGTTTAGCGTCACATCACACACAAAAATATGTGCGTTATCCAAACACCATATTACGTTCCACATTTTCATATACTATAGTGGCTCCGTCGGCCTTTGGCAGTCTCTGTTGCTTCTATTCTTTGTCCATTCAATTTAATTTTCAATTTATGTTTCATAATTTATTACAATTATTTTATTAAATATTTAATAATATTGTTAACAAAATGCAAAAAGGCATGTAATTATAGAGAAAGTTTCAAACAGAAAAATAATAATCTATTATATTTGTAAAAGTTGTCTGTAAATAATAATAATTGTTGAATAATTATTTTTTTAAACTGAAAACACTTTTTTATTCAAGGTAATATTATTTTCATAATAATTTAATTTATTACAATTATTTTATTATAATTTAATAAATTTCATTATTTTAAAAAAGCGCGCGCTATTTTGTCTTGGGCTAATGAAGTGATTTGAACTAAATGTAGGTTATGTTCGTGTCTGATTCATGACAGCTGCAAATATTTACAACAAATAAATACTTTGCAAGTGTATATTTATTGCAATTAAGTAAGTTACTTTGTCTTTGACATATTTTTCTGCACTTAATTGTCTTCTTTTGAAACAAGAAAAAAGTTTTTGTTGAGCGTACAGCACTGACTCGCATAATACTTCTTTATTGTTCGCATACTTCACTATAACGTATGTGAAAAGTTCGCTGACATTGCTAACAAATACTTACATACAAAGACAGATGGATCTAGTGTGATAAAAACAAAATAAACGCAATGGCTCAACCCTGACTACTCTCCCCTACTCATTTTGATACCATGTTTTTTTAAAGGAGGTAAATTTAAAATCTATATTCGAACTAAATAGGAAAATGATATCATTGTACCTAATAGAATAAGGTTTCGACCAAAATTCTAATTCAGCGGGGAAAAAATGGGAATACACTAGTGTAGTGTCTTGGCCAAAAAACTTTCCTTTTTTTTTTATTTTAATTCTTTTTTTTGAGCAGTTTTTTGAGTTTATCTCAAAAACAAGAGCCAATCTGACTATTCTGGATTCGGATTAAGATTCAACAGAGAAAAATACATGGGAATACACTAGTGTAGTGTCTCGGCCAAAACACTTTTTTTGTGTGCCTGTGTAATATAGAAAATATTTAACTCGAAAATAATGATGTTTTATTTAACCGGTTGGTGTAGAAGCAGCATAAGTCCACAAATCAAAATTGTTCAGGAATCAATAAAAATTGTTTTCCTTGTTAATATAAGAATTTTTTCCAATTTTTCTTTTTGCATTACTTTCTATTAACCTATAAGTTTAAAAAATACCTATGACTGATTTATTTTATTATTTATATAAGGTGTAAAAAAATTAAATAAACTTTTGGTCTTAAACTGTTTTTGCACCAAATGAAAAAGTCCTCCGAAAATCTTAATATTATCATTATTATTCTATTTAAATATCATTTCTTATTTTTAGCGCAAATGGATACGTCAGGTGCACAGGTCCTTCGAAAAGATTTTTTTCTTGCAACGTTCAGGTGAGTTTCATTGATTATTATTACCATTGTTAATTAATTTTAATTTGTTTTTTTGAAAGAATTTCTTTCGACTTTTTTTCTTTCGACATGCACGGAGAAAAAAAATTTAGCTACCTTAGCTAACCCCAATTGCTATTATATGGATAGCAATCATTGGTTAAGCTAATAATTAGCTTCCGTAGCTAAGATGTTTTGCTGTGGCAGCTAAATATTAGCTATCAAAGCTAAAAATTAGTTATCCATATAAATTCATTTTTCTCCGTGTGTATATTTAAATAAAATAAAAAGAATCCATTTGTCATATTTTACTAATCATTATTTCGATGTTAGGCAAGTTTTGCGAATGAAGAAAGAATATCAAATGCAGATTTAAACAAGGAATCTTGAATGATGATGACGAATATTATGACCCCTTGTACATATCTAAAATTCTTGACACGCCCCACAGAGACAGTCGAATAAAAGCAGATGTAAAAAAGTAAGCGACACGAGTCAACACTGATTGATATCATCTTTTTTTTCTTCAAATTTTTGTCATGTGGTGATGACAACTTGAAATTCTTTACAATAATAACCTACTCCCCCCCCTCTCTCTCTCTTATGATTATCACAATCTAATGAGAGATTCTTTTAAATGGCGTGGTCAAAATTTTCCAAAAATGAAATTTAATCCTCTCTTTTCTTTAAAACATCCAAAAAATTAAAGTTTTCTGCATGTAAAATTTTTTTATTGCAATTCTTTGTCTTTTATCGATTTCTACGTAACGTTTATGCTTTGAGAAACGTGTTCCTAATTTTAAACATATGTATTCGAATTTTTAATTTTTTTTAAAGTTTTTTATTCATAATAGTTATTAAGTAAATATTTACTTATTAAATAAATAAATAAATAAATAATGGCGCCTGAAAGCCAAAAAAATTTCAAAAATTACGTATGAAATTTTTTTTCTTTAAAATTTTACGACATTGAAATCCAAGTCGAAAAGTATAACATTTTGGCGTTAAAGCATGAACGTTTTTGGATTTTAATTTTTGAGAATCGATTTTTTATTTTTTAACCACGAAATAATTACCAATAGGCGCCAAGTTACCATAGTTTATAAATTTTTCATTTTGCGCAATCATTGATGCATTGTTTTAGGGGTTTAAGAAAATGAAGTGCTGTACGAATTATTTTATGTTCACCCTACGTGGATGCCATTCATTTGAACTGAATTAATTTCCAACTTACTCGAACAAAATAAACATTAATTAAAGAGAAACTGTTTATAAATCTTCACCCTACTTTTTGATTTTCACACTCGACACTTTCCCCAGAAAATCCATAATTCAATTTCTCCTATATAGCTGATTACATTTTCCCTGTTAAGATATGGCCCCTTTCGCCAACTAATATCAACACGATGAAGTATTTCACACACAATCGAAATTCAGTTAGAGGAATTCGGATTCATTTCAACACAGAATATGAGGAGTAAATTATTTTTCCGTTTGTAGCAATATATTCTATATAGAAATGAATGATATGGGGTTGTTAAGGAGGTGAACACTATGGGTAAAGGAAGAGAGACAGGGGTGCACATCCCTATACGATATGCTTTGAACAAGGTATCAAGATTCCATGAAGCAAGATATATTACATTGGGGGCTTGGTTCTAAGCCATAGATGTAAATAAACATCGTCTCCCTATGAAAATAGAAGAAATTCGATGGAGCCTCTACCAAGCGTGTAATAAATAATTCACTGCCTGGACGAACTATCTTGCACTCAAAAAACAGGTGTCCTGAAGGGAGACACTTTTATTACTTTCACGACAAATTCATTTTTGTCTTCTAGGGGTCGATTATGTAATTCCATTTCCATTCCCACTTCCAGTAAAATTTTTATCATATTTTGCATTACAATTTACATTACATTACATTATACAATAGTATAATTTTATTAAAAATGTAAAAAATTTTATTTTAAAATAGCTAAAATTCTTTTACAAAATAAAGTAAGACAATATTCGCTTACGAGATATTTATTTACATTTAATCAAGCATTCTCAATTCAGTTGATTTTAATATCATTGATTTTATAATTGAATACCCGGATCAAATAACTCGACCGACGCTCGGACGAACGCTCTATTACCAGTCAAGTAGCAGTGACAGCCTGTGGGCGGCTCACTGCTACCCGACTACCATTAGAGCGTGCGTCCGAGCGTCGGTCGAGTTATTTGATCCGGGTATTCAATTGTGTTATTTTATTAAAAAACAGATTAAAAATATAAATAGTAAATAAATTCATTTAGTTTAAAAAGTGTTTTTTCTGAAAATAATGAAATTTAAAACAAGATTTTTTGTTTCTTATTCAAGTTTAGGGACGCATGATTATGTTCTAAAAATCATTGGTTAGAATTTTCATTTTTCATAATTATTTTTGAGCCGAACTTTTATTTGTTCGAATTAGTATTTTGCAGAATTTTCATCAAAACGTTTTTCTTTATTACGGAATTTTTATATAACCGAAAATTCACTTCACAGAATATTTATTTGCTCGAATCTGGGTAGAATTTTATTGTATAGAATTTTCTTTCAGATGAATTTTCATTTATTTCAAATTATTATTTGATATAATTTCCATATAACCGATTTTTCATACTACAGAATTTCTATTTAACCGAAAAATCATTTAATAGAATTTCTAATTGATAGAATTTTCATTTATCCGAAATTGCAAATGGCCGAACAAACAATAGACAGAAAGATTTCGGCGCGATTTTTAAATTCATCCAATCTTAATTTTATGGATAATTTTTGATTGGTTAATTTTAAAAATCGCGCCAAAATCTTTCTGTCGATTGTTTGTTCGGTCATTTGCAATTTTGGACAAATGAAAATTTTATCAATTAGAAATTCTGTTAAATGATTTTTCAGTTAAGTAAAAATTCTGTAGTATGAAATATCGGTTATATGGAAATTGTATCAAATAATAATTCGAACAAATGAAAATTCATCTGAAAGAAAATTCTATGCAATGAAATTCTACCCAATAAAAATTCTTTAAAATGCCTATTATGTTAAATAAAAATTCGAGCAAATAAAAATTCTGTGAAGTGAATTTTCGGTTATATAAAAATTCCGTAATATAAAAAATCGTTTTGATGAAAATTCTGCAAAATACTAATTCGAACAAATAAAAATTCAACTCAAAAATAATTATGACAAATGAAATTCCACAAAATGAAAATTCTAACTAATGATTTTTAGAACATAATCATGCGTCCCAAAAATAGAAAGTGAGATATGAAATTAGAAAAAAGAGTAAATGAGAGTGGAAATTAGAAAAAGTGGAAGTGGAAATGGAATTTAAAAAGCGGAAAAAAAATTTTTAAAGTGAAAATGGAAATGGAAATGGGAATGAAAATTAAAAAAGTGGAAGTGAAAATGACAGTGGGAGTGAAACTTAGAAAAAGTGGAAATGGAAGTGGGAATGAAAATTAAAAAAAGTGGAAATGGAATTGAGAATGAAAATTAGAAAAAGTAGAAGTGGAAATGGAATTACTTATCGACCTCCAGATTCAAGAGTGAACATTTGATTCTAATATTGCTAGATAATTTTAATAATTAAATGTATTTAACAAAAAAATTATTCATTACTTTGGGAAAATAGTGAATAGATACCGATTTTTTATACCAAAATATCATTTTAAAAATTGCAAAATTATGTTTTGAAAAAAAATTTATCAAATTTACGGTTTTACTTTATTATATTTGAATATCAAAAATTAAAAATATTAAAATTATTTTTAAATCAGTTTTATAGTGTACCTTAATATATTAGTTGATATACTGACATAATATCTTGAGCGATGGAACCTTACAATAAGGATAAGCCTATAAGATTTAAAGAGGGGATTATCAGGGTCTAACATAAACATTTATTGAATGTCGGAAGCTACACGAAAAGTTCAGAAACAACTTTTTTTCTTGGCAGCATGAAATTTGTCCTTGTAACGCAGACTTACCATTATGATGTGTACGTTTCTACCATAAATCGCTTTTTTTACTGTCGTTTCCATTTTTTCTTCTTTTATTGATTATATCTTTCAAGTTATTTTTGACAAAAACATTTTACATATCTGCCCTTATAAAAAGGATCTCATCCATAAATTTAGTTCGATTTTTAACAGTTTAAAACGTAAAAATTTTCTAGTATATTTTTATAAGTAAATATAATGTAATCAAAAGATTAAGGAGAATGGAGATCCTCACATAATCTCTAAACTGAAAAATAATTTTTAACGCAACCAAAAATTTAACAAAAATTAATTTCATGCATTTTTCGAAGCTGTAGACTTTTTGGAAAAAATTATGTTGAGTTAAAGTCTTTTGTTAAATAATTATTTTTTTTATATTTTGACTTTTTTCTTTTATTTATATATATTTATAATATTTTTTGAAAATATTAAAAAAAATTTAATGTAAAAAAGATATTATATACTTATATACCTATATTTCTTTTTAAATGTTGGATGAAAAATTGGTTGTCATAAATCCTCATTTCGTGATGTCTGCGTCCCAGTGGGATATTGTTTCTTCGTTTTCTCTCTGGCCTCCCTCGATTTATCGATATTATCCTCTCCGATTGAACTTTATTATCTTGAACACGCAAAGTGATGGTTCTCGCTTGTTAATACATTCATTTCTTCACATAAAATAAGTGCCAATAAACATTTATAATATATATAAATACTTTAAAACTATATTTTGGAATTAGATTACAATTTATAATCTCAAAAACCCTTGTATTTGTGTCCTTACACAGAGCTAAATTTTCCACATTTTTTTTCGTTAGAGTCGGCAACCTATAAGCAATTCTAATTTTTTAAAAAAGCAAAATCCTAATGTATATATAAATATTTTATTTAAAAATTAATTAATTTTCATCCTTATTAAAAAAAGAAACAAGATTTTATATCTGCTTTTGCCAATTATTTACAATGTAAATTTGCCTCTCAATTTTTAATTATCTTCAGCTTCATATTATACATACATTTATATAAAGAGTTTCTTCTTTGTTTTATTTCAACTAATTTTACATCCCAGTATAAAGTAACTTTTTTATCCAGTGAGGACAGTTAAAAAACTAATGATGCTCGACCTCTGTTCAACAGAGATATAAAAAGACTTTCGTTAAATACATATTAAAGTAATTAAAATATTGGATTTTTTAAAAATTACATTTGGCCCACGTTATAAAATGTCTGTTTTTAGAAGCGATTTTTAAATATTTAGGTTTTATAATTACAAATATAAATTTTTAATTTTGAAAGGATTTTATAAAATGTTTTTTTTTTAAATTAAGAAACTAATCATTTTTATTGTTGTTTAATTTCAGGAATGTCCTGGAGAGTCAACCGATTTTCGAGCTGAACAATGTGCAGTTTTTAACAACATACCTTTTGAGGGGATTCATTACGAGTAATATTTTGTTTCATTTTTTTTTAAGAATTATAAATAATAAAATTATAATAATACTTAAGAGGATGAACCACCCTAAATTTTGAAACATTTAAATTTAAATTATTAAACGAGGTTTTTTTTTCTTGCATCATTTGTGTCCTAAAAACATACATAGAATGGTCAAAAAAATAAAATTTTAATTTTTGACCATTTTAGAAATTAAAGTTTTAAAAAAATTAATACCTATTTTAAATATCTATCTTCTTTCACAATTTTGACTTTTTTCCACGGTTTTTTAATGATTCTTAAGAATATGGATGGATTTTCAAAAATATCAATTTTTTCAAAAAATAAAAATTCTAAAGTGGTTAAAAATTAAAATTTTCTTTTTTAACCACCTTATATGTTTTTAGGACCCAAATGATGCAAGAAAAAAAATATAATCTCGTTCAATAATTTAAATTTTAGTGGGTCAAAATTGGGGGTGGTACCTCATCCCCTTATTAAGTTTCAGAAAGTTATTTATATTCTAATTACATATAGGTAATTATTTAATAACAAAACAAAAACTAAATAGTTATTCTTGAGAAGGAAGTTAGAAATGTTGTACAACTTATCTGAAAAATTTTCTTCCTTACAACACATTTTTTAATTTTATTTTATAAGATTTATTATTTAATTATATATATGTATATATATTGTGTGTTTTTAATTCTGTAAATTTTTATGCAGCTTCGTATAATTGAATAGTTGGCAAAAGAAAATAGTTATTAACTAACTGCTTTATTTTATAGCTGGATTCCATATACAGGAAGCCCCAATAAGTGTGACTTGAATTGCATGCCACGAGGAGAGCGCTTTTTTTACAGACATAAACCGAGTGTTACAGACGGTACTTTATGTGACATTGAGAAAAAAGATGTTTGTGTCGAGGGAAAATGTATGGTAAGGACAAAAATGATGAACTAAAAATTATTATTTTAATTATTATACATTTTTAAATAAATTCATTTATTTTAATATATTTAATAATAAAAATTAAATTTAAATAGAATTATTATTATTATTAGTGCTAACTATAGCTATATCCGACAAAAGTTTTTCACTTAAAAATAAATAAAAATTTTTTATTTTGGTAATAAGAGTAGCATATAAATACAAAATTGACATTTTTTAAGAGAAACTCTAATAAATTAATTTGTTTTTATTGTAAAACTTTTTGTGAATGATAAATAATGAAAGGATACACATGAAAGATAGGACAGAGGATTTTGGAAAAATTTTGAACTTTATATGAAATTTTTGGATTAATGATCAATCAATTTTAATAAATACTGCTCGGTGACATTTCGAAATCAGTTTTTATCCGAATCGAAATTTTAATGTAACTAAAAAAAAATTTTCCTAGTAATTACGAATCAATTAGTTTAATTCCGAAACAAAATTTTAATCCTTTCTAATCCTGTTATGGAATGAAAAAAATAAGATTCAAATGAATTCAAATTCAGCTTCGGAATAAAACTGATTGGTTTAAAATGAATTGAAAAGAATATTTTATTGAGTTACATTAAAATTTAGATAGAAACAGATTGGTTCGGAATGCCTCGAAATAATAATAATTATTAAAACTGTTTGAAATACAATCCGAAACTTTCGTCAAGGATATAAATAATATATTACCATTAAAATAAAGGTGTACAATTTAATTGTGTTTTTTAGCCAGTTGGATGTGATTTATTGTTGGGAAGCGACGCCAAAGAAGATGCTTGTAGAGTATGTGGTGGAAATGGAACTGATTGTAATACAGTAAAGGGACTTTTCGATACAGATGACTTACAAGCAGGCGAGTTGAAAAGCACAAAAACGTTAATATTCATGAGAAAAAATTTTACCGAAATATTAATTTTAATTTAACAGGTTACGTGGATATATTGTTAATTCCTGAGGGAGCTACAAATATTATTGTAAAAGAAGTCCAACCATCAAATAATTATTTAGGTAATCAAACATTTTTTGTTCTTTTAATACTTACCTATCTATGATAAAAATTAGAACTTTAAATAAAATATTAATTTTAACAAGACAGTTCGTTTACAAAAAGCAAACTTTTTATAAAAATCTACTGAACCTTTTTTCCGTGCATACAAAAAAATACAAAACCATTTGTTATATTAGATAATTTCCTAAATAAAGTTAATAATTAAAAGTTTTATGATATTTAGAAAACATAATTTTATCTTAATAAATATTGAAAAAAAGTATCATTGAAAATTTAAAAGATGTTCTCGCGAAATATGTTTTCAGCTGTTAGAAATACAAGTGGCCATTACTACTTAAATGGAAACTGGAGGATAGACTTTCCTAGAAGCTTGAGATTTGCAGGAACTATTTTTCATTATTCTCGAGATCCTCAAGGTTTTTCTGCTCCTGACACAATTACAGCTCTGGGACCAACGACTGAACCAATTTACGTCGTGGTGAGTATATAGTTGAAAATATTTGCCGCTTTCGCCCTGTAGTCATTTTAGTTACAGTATGAAATGAGTGGTAAATTTCATATTTTCAGTTGCTTTACCAAGATAGAAACGTTGGAGTCAATTACGAATATAGCGTTCCATCAAAAATATCACAACAAGGAGATCCAGATGGTTACGTTTGGATAGCGGATGAGTTTTCTGCTTGCAGTACAACTTGTGGAGGAGGTGAAAAAATTAATTTTTTTGGAAAATATTAAATTATGTTATGTTATATTAAAACTGGAAAAAATAACATTTTTTATATAATTGGAAGCTAGGTATTCTTTTTGTAAGCACTACTTATTAATTCTTCAACACTGAAATTATTTAATTATTAATTAATTAATAATTAATTGGAAGTATTAGCATAATTGTTGATCTCTTGGAAGTAGTACTGTATACTGTTGCTACAATATTTTTTAAAAACATATTTAATCTAATCTACAATTTTCTAAAAACAATTATTTGTTCCTTTATAATAAATGGACGAAACGAAAGTTTTAAATAATTCAGAATCTAAATTTTCCTTCAAATAAATAAACAAATAAATAAATAATTTCTAAGTGATGAATTCTCTCTTACAAAAAATAATTACTGGAATAATTACTCAACATAATTACTGAAAATAATTATTGGCACAATTATTGGGATAATTACTGGAATAACTACCGGATTAATTACTGGAGTTTCCAGTAATTTTTCTTCGCACATATGTTAAAAATTTATTTGTTGCGCACTATAAGTTTCTATAGCTATTCTATTTCTATATATTAAATGAATAGGAATATATTTAACAGAAAATTATGATTCTATTGAAATTTAAAAAAATAATTTCGTTGTAGTAAAAAAATACATCTCGCGAAAAAATTACTGGAATTTCCACTAATTAATCCAATAGTTATTTCAGTAATTATCACAGTAGTTATCCCAATAATTATGCCAGTAATTATTTTTCATAAGGGATCTCTGGCTAAAATTTCAGAATGATTTCAAATTAAATACAAACAGATCAGTCCGGATTTGTTCAGAAATTGTACGAAAACAATTCGAAAATTATCCGTATTAATGAGCAACCAGTCTGGATGTAAAGATAAATCCGAGATAAGTTCAGAATAGTCCGAAATTGACATGAAATAAATCCGCAATTAGCCCGCAACAATTTGATTTTAGTTAGATCAAAAAACAATCCAAAATGAGTCTAGAATAATTCAGAATTTGTATGTACTGTTAAAAACATGAATCCAAAATGAGTCCGTAATAATCTGAAACCTTCATGTGAAAAATCCGGTATTAGCCCACAGTAATCCTGATTTAAATCTATTGTTAAAAATCCTAATCCGAAATGAGCCTGGAAAAATTCGGAATTAATATGTACAAAATCAACAGTCGCAGTTTGAACAAAAATCTTAATCAGAAAGGAGTCCAAATTAGTAGGCAATCTGTGTGTAACGAATCCGTATTTTGTTAGATCTAAAATGTGAATTGAAAATCTATATGTAAAAAATCTGGAATTTGTCTTTTTGTCCGCACTAATTTTGGAATATTTCATATCATTTTCGGACTGTTTTCGTATAATCTAGATAGATTCAGTCCGTTTAAAAATCTGAATCCGAAATTAGTCTGGTATAATCCGACATTCTGTATGTATTATTATTATGTATGTATTATGTATGTATTATATTATACCGCCAGGTGCAGTTCTCTCACAGTTGAGATGAGTCTCAAGTTCAATAAGAACTGTTTACTGTCGGCGTAAAAGACATGTTGCCTTCTGACCAATTGTCACTACTTTGGTTAATATTTCGAAATGTGGAATTAATCCGAAACAGTCCGCTTTAGAGTCGGGTTTCTATTATCCGGAATTAGTCCGAAATTAGTATTATTTGTGTAACTAGTTAATCCGGTCTAATCGGAAATTAATCGGAGCATACACAACTAATAAATGCAAAATTAATTATATTGAATACGAAATAAATCCGGCCTGTCTAATCAGTAAATCTAGAATCTGCATTCAGGAGTTACGTTTGATCAAACTGACTTCGGATTAGACCTGATAAATTCCAGATTCAGTAGTTACACAAACGGAGCAAATTTTGGATTTTTCCAGACTAAGTCTGGATGACAAAAACCGGATGGTTTCGGACTAATTTCAGATTAGTCTAAAATTTTTACCAAGGTTATATTTTTGAAATTTTAATTAATTTTTATTGTAATTATATCATTTAATGAATTATAGGATATCAGTCAAGACGAGTAAATTGTGTTCGTCGAAGGAACTCGGAACCGGTAGACGAACAGCTTTGTGATCCTCTTCTCGAGCCAACAGATACGAAAGCTTGCAATGAGGAGGCTTGCCCACCCCAGTGGGTGTCAGGTGAATGGAGTCCTTGTAGTAAGCCGTGTGGTGTGGGTGGCGAGCAAACTAGACAAGTTAAATGCGAGCAGGTGGTTGCAGGGGGGATCCCCTCAATCGTCGATGATTCTCAGTGTCTCAAACTTCCTAAGCCTGAACCAAAGCAGGAATGTAATAAGGAACTTGACTGCCCTCAATGGCATGTGGGACCATGGAAACCAGTGAGTTAAACATTGTACATAAGATTGTATCTATTTGATTATAAACTATTTCGATGGAATTGCAGCAAGTACTAAACTGGCAACTATAAAAGATCTTTTATCAATAGACGATATTTCATTAAATTACACTAACATTTTTTTCTTTAATGATGAATTGGATACAAATTAAAAATTTTCACATTTAGATTTTTTTGGATATTTTATTATAAAAATATAATATAATATATAAAGAAGTTCTTCAAATTAGAGGATTTTTCACTACATAGTTTAAAAGTTATAAAATTAATTTAACATGGTCTCTTGTAGAGAAACCAAGTAATTGGATCTAAATGAGAAAATACTATTTAAAATTCTCAATTAAGGGGTTAGTACCACATCTTTTTCAAGAAAATCAATTTTTTAAAAACTGCATATAAGGCATTTTACGTGTAATGTCCTAAGTTGAAAAATTGATTTCTTGAAAAAAAGTGAAACTTGGGGAAATTGTTGTCCTACCTGATAGTAAAATATCCCCAAAAAATTTTTTTGACTTTTTCGAAATTTTTGGGGAGATAGAGGGGGTCAATTTTATCAGTTTTCCTTGACAACGCCTACTATTTGAATTTTTGCTGTCTATAAATGCAATCAAAAAAATTTTGTCAGGTATGTTTTTTGAAGGTTTTTTCATCCTCTTTCAAATGGTGAATTTTTTTTTTTTAATTTTTGAATTTTGACCTTGATTGTCTATAATTAAACATGATATTTTCACTAAAATCGGTCCGTTTTTTAAAATAAATAATTGCAAACGAAAGCTGAGGTTTTTTCCGATCTGTATATAAATTTTCAGAATGCCAATTTTTTTTGTTTTCGAGATATTAAATATCAAAGATTTTATGTCGGCGCGCAAATAAAAATTAAAATTAAACTGATAAAATTGACCCCCCCTCTATTTCCCCCAAAATTTCGAAAAAGTCAAAAAAAATTTTGGGGATATTTTACTATCAGGTAGGACAACAATTTCCCCAAGTTTCACTTTCTTTCAAGAAATCAATTTTTCAACTTTGGACATTACACGTAAAATGCCTCATATTCTTGTACTAGATATAATATGTAGAAATGCTATAGAAACTATTATTTTGGTTGGTAACTACGATAACATATTGAAAAACGGAGTACAATGTAAAACTCACGTGCTCATTGAGCGTACTTTTCGCAAGTACAATGCATGCTTTTATAAATATATACCTATATAAATATAAATATATATCAAATTACACATATATGTATATAAATATGTATATAAAAGCATATATACATGTATATAATGTATCCTGTCGTGTAAGGGGGTATTTTCTTGAAAAAGGACATGTTTTCGTAAATTCGCTTTTTCTCAAAACAACGTTTTTTGACATGGCGGACGTCATAAAAGAAAAACTATTGCACTGATTAAGCTCAAATTTTTATAGCTTATTCTACACATATACCGTTATCGTCGGAACTAGAATCATAATTTTTTATTAATATTTAACCATTTTCTTAAACAATTTAAGTTGAAAAAACAAGGTCAAGAATGAAAAAAGTCTGCCATTTTGTTTTTTTTTCATCGAAAATAGTGGATTGTAGTTCCGACGATAGCGACGAGCTTACTTTTCAAGAAAATATCAAAAATTTAATTTTTGATGACCTGAATTGGAGATATCGTGTCCGCCAATCACAAGTAGGGGTATTTTCAAGCGGCCACGACAGCAAGATAATCCATAATAAATAAGGGATCAAAATTTTTTTCAATAGTTTAAAACCCCTTCTTTTAGGTATAAAAAGTTTAAAGTAAATAAAATAAATTTTGTAATAAAAAAAAAATATTTAAGAAAAGTCACTGAGATGTGGTACTAACCCCTTAAAAAAATACATATAAACTAAGCATGTCAGCAGCTTTAATAAATTATTAATTTTGTGTTTTTTGACAAGCTAGTTTTAAAGAAAATAATAAAAATACGAAGAAAAGCACAAGTATTTCCAAAATTGATAATAGAAACGAGGCAAAATCTTTTTAAACGAATTTTTACTAAACATCATTTTTAGGTATTGAATTTTTGTTTGCAAATTTTTATTTTACACAATTTCTCTTTGCCCAACATTTTATTTAAAAAATTCTAAGTTAGCCGAATATTAATTAGCAGAATTCTCATTCAACAGAATTTTAAATGTTTCTATATTTTAAATGCCCGAATTTTCAATTCATCGAATCTTCATTTATCCGAATTTTTAAAACGCCGATTTTCCATTAGTTTAAAAATTTGAATCATTTAAAATTATGTCGAATGAACTAAAATTTGGTTAAATTAGAATTTTTCAAATAAACAGTTGGGTAAAGAGAAAATCTGTAAATTAAAAATTTGGTATCTAAACCTTGCGTTTAGTACACCCAGAGAAATGATTTATTTGAACCAAATAAAATATATTTGATTTAAATAAACGTATATTTGTCTCAGAGTCTACTAACTTATTTATTCTGCGTAAATAAAAATTTTGTTTGTCAGAAATAAATTTTTCTTCGGCTGAAATAAAATATATTTGCAACAAATAAATGAGTTAGTAGGCTCGGAGACAAATTTCGTCTAAATGTATAGAAATAAATAAATAAAGAAATAATTATATTTAATAAAATTCCTCAAAATGAAATTTTTAATTAATGATTATTATGGGAAATTCACGCTCCCCTTGATTGATAATATTTTTACTAAAATATTTTTTATTCTATTTTTAAAATTAATTTCAATCTACTTGATTGATAATATTTTTACTAAGATCTGTTTAATTTAATTAGTTATTTTTAATCCTTCGCAGTGTGATCACTTGTGTGGAAAAGGTAAAATGTCGAGAAAAGTGACATGTTACCGAAAAACGGATGGAAAAATTCATGTGTTAGAGGATTCAGCATGTCCAGAAAAAATGCCTGAAAAAGAAAAGCCCTGCGAATTGAGACCATGTGCCGGAGTTGATTGGATTACATCCGAGTGGAGCGGAGTGAGTCTTTTTAGCTTTTGTAAATCTTTAAAAAGAACATTTTTATTATACTTTAATAAATTTAATTTTATAACTTTATTAACAATTAAAAGTTTTGTAAATAAATTTTTAGTGCACAGATAAATGTGGATTAACTCATGAAACAAGAACGACACAATGTGCCACTCAGGAAGGTACAATTTATCCTGATGACAATTGCGACATTGAAAAGAAGCCTGAACTAAAACGAGATTGTGAAACTGCACAAACGTGCGAGTATGAATGGGTCACGTCTCAATGGAGTGACGTAAGGGCATTTCTTAAAAATATATTCTCCAAAATAAATTATAAAATAAAATTAATAAATTATTATTATTATCGTAAATTTAAGTAGTAATAATATAATTAACCATTAAGTAGTATATAATTATAAGTATTAATAAAAGATCAATAATATATCAAAGTTACAAATTAATGTGCAAACAATTATTTTAGTGTTCAGCTAAATGTGGTTCTGGAATACAGAACAGACAAGTGTTTTGTGCGACATTTGAAAATGAAGATACTCTTAAAAAAGTACCTGAAGAAAAATGTGATGCTGAGAAGAAATATAACGATACACGAAATTGCACAGGTGAAGCGGAAGAATGCAAAGGGGAATGGTTCGCTGGTCCTTGGAGTAAGGTATAAACAATATTTAACAAAAATTAAATTTTTGAAACAATGATTTAATAGTAAATAATTATTATTTTAAATAATTTATGTTTGTCTATTTAATCATAAAGTAAATCCAAAGTAAATGTAATTTTAAAAAAATATTCTCTACATAAATTTTAGTGTTCAAAACCATGCGGTGGTGGAGATATGACTCGCAAAGTGATTTGTATGAAAGATAGTATGTTAGTACCTTCAAGTAACTGTGACGTAGAAACGATAATGTTCAGTCAAGAAAGTTGTAACGAACAGCCATGTGGAGAAGGTAAAAGCAACATATTTATCTACATTTATTCAGATTTATGTACGCTAGTTTAATATTATTCTTTGTCAATCCTATATTTTATGAAAACATAAATTTTTTATTTTCTTAATCATATCTTACCGAATGAAATTTTTTATTTTCAAGACGAAGTGATATCAGTGACTCCTGATAAAGAAAAGACTACACCTGATGTGAGTGAAGAAGAGGAATGTGAAGAAGGTGAAGAAGAGGAGGGTGAAAATTATGTCACTATAAAGACTAGCTTCGGCTCGAGTGTAAGTTGACAACTTTTATTCAGAAAATAAAAATATAATTGTCTAAAGTTATCTGTGTTGTTAAACTTTTATCTAGGAAGGAGAAGTGACAGAAGTCTCACCTCTGAGTTCGCCAATGAGTACTGAAAGCAGTGGAAAGACCGTTTCATTTTTCGATGATATGATGATGAGTGACGCGGGTTACAGTAGAGGAGATATTGAAATTTCTACGGAATCTGGAAGTGGAGAAGGCAGTGGTACTGATGAAGATGAACTTTCACTCTTCACGCAAACAGGCTTTTCTAAATTTGGATCAACCTTTGAGGGAAGCGGTACTTCACCTGATGAAAATACAAAAGTAACAGTTTCTGGCACAACAGAATCTGCGGTTACTGCAGGATCCACTGAAGGAGTTTCTGAAGGATTAACGAAAGAAGTTTCTGAAGTATCAACAGAGTCTGGAGTTACTGACGAATCTTGTAAGTAATCTTGTAAGATAATTTTTAAACTTTCTGGAAATTAATATATGGTTATTTTATTACACTTTGTATTTGTAGCCATATCCACTGAATCTGTTTCTGGAACAATTGCAATTTCTACGGAGGCTTCAGTGACAGTTTCAACACAGTCATCATTAGAGCCTTCTTCTACTGATTCTTCAGTTACATCCTCTGATAACACTGAAATATCGAGTTCTGAAAGTTCAGCCCAAACAGAAACATCTACTAATTTATCTGAAAGTACTGTATCATCTTCTTCAGAATCTACCGAAACAGAAACAACAGAACCTACTTCTACAATATCAACCTCAGAAACATCAAGTTCCAGTTCAGTTTCAGAAGAAACTAGTTCCTCTGAAATGAGTACTTCAGAATCTAATACTTCTGAATCTAGTTCTTCAAGTGAAGGTTAGTACTTTTTTAATTATAATTTCACTATATGTACTAACAAAATTAACTGCAATGTCAATTTTATAAATGTTCATGATTTTAGAGACATCAAGCGAAAGCACTTCAAGTTCAGGAGAAACTACAGTTTCAGAAACATCAATTAGTGGCCAAACTACAGAATCTGGAGCGACAACAGAGTCTGGTGCAACAACGGAATCTGGAGAGACAACAGTATCTGGGGCAACAACGGAATCTGGACTAACGAGTATATCAGGATTGACAACGGAATCGGGAATGACAACTGAATCTGGCTTAACAACTGGATCAGGCTTAACAACTGGATCAGGCTTAACAACGGAATCTGGCTTAACCACGGAATCAGGATTGACAACTGATTCTGGCGTAACAACAGCATCAGATTTATCGACAGAATCTGGCCTGACAACTGAATCTGGACAGACGACCGAATCCGGTTTATCAACAATTTCTGGAGAGACTACAGTGAGTGGTTTAACAACAGAGAGTGGAATGACTGAAGGAACTACTGCATCTGAAAAAGAAGATACAGATTTAACGGAGCAGACTCACGGTAATATTTGAAAGTTATCTCTCTTTCTATTATTTGCAGCATATAATCATAAAATATTGATTGCAGTCTCAGAGTTTTGGACAACCGTTAGTTCAGTACAAACTGCATTGAAGAAAGAAGGCAAGATGAAGAAATGTAAGCCAAAGAAGAAGAAGACGTGTAAAACAACAGAATTTGGTTGCTGTTATGATGGAGTCACACCTGCAGAAGGTCCCTTCGGAAAAGGATGTCCAAATCCTGAAACGTGTGCTGAAACTAAATACGGTTGTTGTCCGGATGGTGTTTCGGCAGCTAAAGGACCAAAGAACGAAGAATGTCCAGATCAACACTGTAATGAAACACTCTTTGGTTGTTGTCAAGATGAAATTACTCCAGCTGAAGGAAATGATTACGAAGGTTGCAAGAAACCTTGCAACGAAACTGAGTTAGTGTCTTAATTATCTTGTCTGACATTTAAAAAATATTTTTAACTTCAATTTTTATTATGATACAGATTTGGATGTTGTCCTGATAAAGAAACTCCAGCAAGTGGGAAGAATAATTTGGGATGCTGTAATGTTACAAAACACGGCTGTTGTCCAGATGGAATTAAAGTAGCTTCTGGACCAGACGGTGAAGGTAGTTTAATTTCATTATTAATAAACAAATATTGTTGTGCGGATATAAAGAAATTAAATATTTGATTCAGGCTGCGAAGAAGAAGTATCAGAAACACCTGAATTTGAAACAACAACACCAATGGAAGGCGACTGCGCTAATTCAACCTACGGTTGTTGTCCAGATGGGGAAAAGACGGCCAGTGGAGAAAACTTTAAAGGTTGTGGAATCATTAATACTGCAAATTGCACTGCTTCTTACTTCAGTTGTTGTCCTGATGGAGTAACAGCAGGTAATAATAACTTATTTAAAAAGAGTTCAGTGAAGCAGATTAATTAATCAATTCACTTTCCCTGCATCAAGAAGATTTCGAGAATCCATTTAAAAAATCTTATTAAAATTATTTTTTTAACATGCGTAACAATATAGAATTTTAATTCAAACAAGGTATTGATTTTAGTAAATATTAAATTTAATTTTAAAATTATGTCAAAAAATAATATAATAAAAAATCAAATTTAAAAAAATTTATAGATAACATGAATATAGAATTGTATACTTTTTTCGTATGTCAAAGTTAAATATAAAAAATTAGTTCCTTTCACATGTGGATATTTTTATTGTCTAGCTCTTGGTCCACGGTATCAGGGATGCCATATGTCATGTGAAAATTCAACTTATGGATGCTGTGATGATGGAATAACTTCAGCTCATGGACCAAACCGTGATGGATGTTGTCTCTCATCTTCCTTTAAATGTTGCCCTGATAATATCACACCAGCTCGAGGTCCCGATTTTTACGGTTGTGGATGCCAATATTCTAGATTCGGATGTTGTCCTGATAATGTAACTGCAGCACGTGGATCACACAATGAAGGATGCGGTTGTCAATACACACAACATAGTTGTTGTCCAAATAGATTTACTCCTGCAAACGGACCCAACTTTGAGGGATGTCCCTGCTACACTTATCAGTTTGGCTGTTGTCCTGATGGAGTTACTGTAGCTAAGGGTCCTAACAGTCAAGGTATATTTTAGAACAATTTCAGATGTTTTAACTATTCCTTTAAATTAAATACATGTATTTCAATTTATTGCATACATTCAAAAAAATTAAAAATTAATCAGGACATTCTGCATCCCTTGTCCTAAGAAAATTTCTAAAGAGTAATTTTTAAGCCTTAACATTTTGGGACATCACATTACTGATTACTAGCAATGATGAAGAGTATAATTTTATTTTTCTAGGATGTGGATGTGAAAACACTGAATTCAAGTGTTGCTCCGATGGAAGAACGCCAGCTAAGGGTCCAAATTTTGCAGGTTGTGCTTGCGATGCTTCGAAATATGGTTGTTGTCCTGACGGAATAGAGGAAGCTCAAGGTGATAACTTCCAAGGTTGTCTTAGCGTTCCCTCGATTCCGGGATCTGCTTGTAGTTTAGAAAGAGATAGAGGTCCCTGTCGAGACTTTACTGTCAAGTGGTTCTATGACACGGAATACGGTGGATGCTCAAGATTCTGGTATGGTGGTTGCGAGGGAAATGAGAATAGATTCAAGTCTCAGGAGGAATGTAAAGAAATCTGCGTGCAACCCAAAGGGAAAAGTATGTTGATATACATTTTTTAATTAAAGTAACGAACTGCGAATATGAAGACTAAATAAAAATTATTTTTTTAAGACGCTTGTTACTTACCCAAAATCTCTGGAGCTTGCGAAGGATATTTCCCAACTTGGTATTATGACGTGGATAGAAAACAATGTGGACAATTCATTTACGGTGGTTGTCTCGGAAATGCCAACAACTTTAAAACGAGAGAGGAGTGCGAGGGTCTTTGTTCCGAATCTGATGATGTTGGTAAGTAATTTATAAATTAGAAACAATTATTATCATATTCGTTATAAGTATGTAAATTGACATATTATAAAGAAGTGTCATTTAAAAAGTACAATTAATGTTTATATTTCTGGGTTTCAGATCCATGTCAACTGGAGAAGGAAACTGGTCCTTGTGCTGGAAATTTCACCAGATATTATTTCAACAAAGAAGCACAAACTTGCGAACAATTCCAATATGGTGGATGTAAATCAAATCAAAACAACTTCCTTACCGAAATTTCCTGCCAAGAAAGATGTCTTCATCCAGGACGTACTCGAGGTAAGTTTTTTCTATTATTATATTTAATTATAAGGTTTTTTTTAAAGTAATTAACTTTTAAAAATGAACTAAAGCAGTTTTGAAATGCGAATGTTTTTTTTAAAATGAATGTTGTTTCTCAAAATCCGAATGATATTTTTTGAAAACATGAATGCAATTTTTAAAATAATGGTTTGTAGCAAAATAGTACTTTTGTAACTTCGGTGTTGGTCTACTGTTAAATATTTACTTTCATGAATTAATTAAAAGGATTTTGGTGCTTGTTAATTTTATAAACGCAACAACTCATTATTAAAATTCAGTGAATTTAGCAATTAACAAGAACTATTTGAGAAAAAAATATTTTCACACTAACTTTGCATGATAACATAAAATTGGAAACAGATTCTTGCTTGCTGCCTCGAACTGAAGGTAACTGCACAGAGAAGATTCCTCGGTGGTACTCTGATCAAACTGAAAATCGCTGCATGCCATTTTATTACACAGGATGCGGTGGTAATAAAAATAACTTTGACTCTAGAGAAGCATGTGAGTCCATTTGTCCATCTAAGATCGGTAAGATTGTGTCATTATCTAAATATTTTCAAAATAAAATTTTGAAAACAAAAATCTAGAGCTTAGTATGTGAATGTTTGTTCTTAGTTTACAATGAAAACTATTATCACACATTAAAATAATTAAATTTTTTTTATTAATTAGAACAAGATTCCTGCTTACTTCCTGCTGTTATGGGTGATTGTCATAATTACACTCAACGGTGGTTCTATGATTCCTATGAGCAACAATGTAGACAGTTCTATTATGGTGGCTGTGGAGGAAACGAAAACAATTTCCAGACTGAACGCGATTGTATCAATAGATGTGAAGCGTCTTTCAATACAAAAGCGCCTCCTGCTCAAGAATTTAGAACCGGTATGTGAAAATAGATTGAAACTCATTTGAAAATAATTTCAATTTGTAGGTGATCTAACACAATTGTATCCTTAGAATTTTGCTTCTTACCCGATGAGCGAGGACCATGTTCTGACAATGAAGTTAAATGGTTCTACGATTCTCGAATTGGAATGTGTAAAACTTTCAGTTACGGCGGTTGTGGAAGCAATGGAAATAATTTCAATTCTCGCGAGGAATGTGAATATAGATGTGGTGAAGTTCAAGGTATGAAAAATCGTGAAATACAATTTTTGGAAAAATTTTGTAAAATTGATTTGTGAATTTTAATTTTTAGACCCATGTACATTGCCGGTTCTCGTTGGTCCTTGTAATGGATCTGTCACTCAATATTATTACGATAGAAGATACGATGGCTGCTTCCCATTCGACTACAGTGGCTGTCAAGGAAACAAAAACCGCTTCCAGGATATGGAAACATGTAGCGAAAGATGCGTCAGACAACCGGAAGTTGAAGTTCAACGAGATACAACACCTCACACTGATTATGAATCACCGAGTGCAATTTGCGTTGCTCCTGTTGATGCTGGTCCTTGTACCAAACAAATCACGGCCTATTTTTATAACGTTGACGCTAGAAGTTGCCAGGCCTTCATTTATGGTGGCTGTGAAGGAAATGCCAACAGGTTCCAAACTCAAGAACAATGTGAACGTCTTTGTGGTACTTTCCATAAACAAGGTGAGAATTTCTTTTTACTATTTTATCTACATTACATGTTTTTATAGTTCTTTATTTTCGCCTTCCTTTGAGTATAAGAGGCAAATGAAAAATATTAGTACGATCCTCAAGATATCGTAAAATTAATTTTACAGATATTTGCAATTTATCTGTCGATCCTGGTCCTTGTCGAGGAGCGTTTACTAAATTCTTTTACGATAGATCGTCGCGAACTTGTCGCGAATTTGTCTACGGTGGATGTGATGGTAATGCTAATCGATTTAGTACTATCCCCGAATGCGAATCGGTATGCATTCATCATGAAGAACCCACATCCAGTGGAAACGAAACTTCTGTTTCTCATCTTGGTAAGAAACTAAACTTATAATTGTTAAATTATTTTTAATTCTACTTCAGAATTAATCCACAATATTCTTATTCGAAAAATAATGAAAACTGTATTAGCAAAGTTTTGTTGATTGGAAATTTTTCAAAAAAATTTAATTGTATAGTTTATAATATTAGTTAAAAGAAAGTTTTAAAGTTGACTGCAATGAACGAGTTTCTCTGGTACTTAGAAATCTGCAGAGAACCAGTTGACACCGGTTACTGCACTGCTGGATATTATAAACGATTCTATTATGACGAGGAATTTCAAACATGCAGAGCATTTATTTACACTGGTTGTGGTGGCAATCGTAACAATTTCAAGACTTTTGAATCCTGTATTGCCACTTGCTTTAGATGTAAGTGACGGTTTCCGGATCCGTTACTCACTTTTAATATTTTTTTCCAGATAAATGGCTACAATATTTATTTTTTCGCAAAATCCAAAATTTACCTTTCCTCGAGGGGGAATTTACTAGTTAAAAACGTGTACACTTGACTACCGGTATTACACCTCATATTACCCTTATTACTAAGTTATTACACGTTATTACAGAGTATTACACATTATTACAGAGATATTACAGATTTTTTGCGTTATTACAGCACCGTAATAACGCATTTTTACACGTTATTACACAAGTATTACAGGAAGAGTGTACACTTGACTACCTGAGTAAATTCCCCCTCGCCTTTCCTGCTTCATGTGGTACATTTTTCTTTATTATTTTTAATTATTATACTTTTTATGTTTTTTCAGATACATGTTTTTTATTCATTTTTTTAGCACGCTGTATATAAAAAATGCTGAAATTTGCCTCTAAAAAAATATAAATTTGAAAAATTTGTTTTAATTTTATGAACTCTTGATTTTATGTGTATTTAATGAAGACTAAAATATTGAAAAACATTTCTATTTTTCATCTAGCAAATGAAATTGATGTCGGCGGACCAATAGAATCAAAGGACCCTTGTGAAGAAGCGAAAGAGGAATGTAGACTTATTCGCTGTCCTTATGGCAAGGAAGCGTTTGTCAATGATCAAGACTGTGAACGCTGTCGATGTGTTGACCCATGTGCTTCTCAATCTTGTCCAGAAGGAACCAAGTGCACTATTATTTTTGATAATTTCAATGCTGAAACAATTTATAGAGGAGTTTGTAGATCTGGTAAATAAAATTTCAATATAATGATAAAGTTTAACAGCGTTGTCACACAAGTTAGGAAAATCATGGAAGTAAGAAAAATGTCAGGAAATTTAAAAAAAATGTGTTGAAAAAATTCTATAAACCTAGATTTGCTATTAATAATGTTATTTCCAACAACAAATCGACACATTTTTTTACCATTATTAGCAAACAAATACGTACAAAATTTTTTAATAATCTATTAAATTAATTAAATTTTTGAAGATTAACAGGTTATATTTTTAGAAATAATTGCAATTTTAAATTGAAATTTTTTTGTAAATTCATGCTTCTAAATTTTTTTATACAAATTTCAGACAATAATTAAATTTTAGAAAACTTTTGACTTAAAATTTTTTTAAATAATTTAATTTTTGAAAAACTATTACAATTATTAAAAATTATTGATTTAACGAAGAATTATAGATAAACATATATTAATACTTAAATTTTCGAATAGTTCCTATTAACCCCTTCGCAGTCCAGTTAAAAATCGCTGGTGGGCCTAAAACGGTCCGAAAAAAAAGTTTCCAAAAAAATATGACTTCTTCATATTTAAGGTTTTTGTGGTCGCTGAATTCGAATTTGAGGTCAGTTTTTCAAAATTCAAAATGGCGGATCCAATATGGCGGACAAATTTAAAAAAAAAATTTTAAAAATTTGTCCGCCATATTGGATCCGCCATTTTGAATTTTGAAAAACTGACCTCAAATTCGAATTCAGCGACTACGAAAACCCCCGAGTAACAATTTGTGGTCAAAACGCATTAATTTTTAAATTATCCGCCATATTGGGTTGCCATATTGGATCCGCCATTTTGAATTTTGAAAAACCGACCTCAGATTCGTAATCAGAGACCCCGAAAACCCCAGAGCAACGAGTTTCATGTAAATCTGATAAATTTTAAGTTTTCATGGTCGCCATTTTGGGTCCGCCATTTTGTTTTTTTGAAATCTGACTTCAAATTTGGATTCAGCGACCCCAAAAACCCCCGAGTAACAAATTTCAGGCGAATCAAATTAAATTTAGTATTATTTTTTTGCGATGGCCATATATGGCCACTTGCACAAAGGTGGCACGACTTTTTCTGGCCACATATGGGCCCTGGACTGTCAAGGGGTTAAGATTTTTAAAATTAAAATTTAATTTCAGAAGATTTGAACTTGGAAAAATTGTAAAAAATGTTTTGTGGCAACCCTGTTTAAAAATTCTTTTGTATTTTTGAAACTTTGAAATAGAAAAAATTTATTTAATTTACTGTTTTTGGTGAAATTAATTCATTTTTATCCATTATCCAGCTGTCAAACCTGGCAGATGTCCTTCTATATCCAATAGCACTAGATGTGAGCAAGAGTGTTCAACCGATGCAGATTGTGCAAACGATTGGAAATGTTGTGATAACGGTTGTGGCACTTCTTGCTTGGAACCGGCATCCGAAGAACGATACACGCCTATTCCAATTGTAAATGTCACCGCTCCAACCTACGGATCTGAACCCGCTGCTATTCAACAACCAGACGATCCTCAAGTTTCAGGAGAAGAAGGCTTCTTTGTGACAATGAAGTGTTTAGCTACTGGATTACCTAAACCAACAATTAGCTGGCGAAAAGATACTGAATTGGTATGATAAAAAATAGATGATTAAAAAAAATATTTTTACATTTCGTTATTTAATATAAAAAAAATTAAAAACTATATTTGCTTATATTTCTAGATAAACGCAACGGAAAAGAGACGACGAATTTTGAACGATGGATCCTTGCAAATCATCAATCTGTACACCTATGACAGAGGTACCTACATATGTACAGCTGACAACGGTCTTGGACCACCAGTTAGAATTGAATATCAACTGCAAGTAACAGGTAAGTCATAAATTATAAATACAAAAATATCCTCTAAAATTAAATAATATATAATTGGTAATGGGTTTAACAAAAAGTATTGCACATTAAATTTAAAAAAGGTTTGGAATATTTATTAACAGTAATGTTGATTATCATTTGAAATATAACTAACAAAATAATAAGAACGTATTTTTATCATGATAGTAACAGAATGAATATAACTTTTTATTAATAAAATATAATGTAATGAAAACTAAAACTAAGGTTTTGGCTTGTTAATCTCTAATTTGATGCAATACGCATGTTTGTCTTGCAAACTCCAGAACCACACAATCGTTCCGCTGACATTGTTGGTGAACCAACCGCATCTGTCACTGTGACGATTAATTCACCGACAACCCTTTATTGCTACGCAATGGGTTGGCCGAGGCCCTTTGTTACTTGGTGGCGTGGAGACCGCATGCTGCCTCTATCTTCAGAAGACTATGAACAGGATTCAGACTATACTCTCCTTATTAGATCAGTTACCATTAGTAACCTTGGGGTCTACGAGTGTCAGGCTTACAATGGAATTGAGAGACCAGCATCGTGGTCCGTGACCCTTTTTGCTTTGGGACCAGTCCACAATGTTTCCAGTCCTTATATTATTCCACCACCAGAGAGACCCACTGTTCCAAGACCCAATTATCCATTTAGACCGCAAAGAACTCAAATTCCTGATTACCAAACACGTGCACCTAACTACCGCAGACCTGATTATCATGTTCCTGGAGTCGTTCCCCTTGATCCGAGTCAAAATGCAACATCTCGGTATCAAGGTGAGACTAATGAATTAACCTTATTTTCGAGTATTATTCAATGTCCAAAATTTATAAAGAGTAAGGGGTACCCGCTCTGAGTGTTCTAAGATAATTGAATTTCCAAATTTTTCAAAATTAAATCACGTTTTCAAAAAATTCACTATTTTACCTTTTCGATCTATTATTAAAAAAATATAGTTTGTCTGACCATATAGCGTCGGATTGACATGAAACGGGACGCATGAAGAAGTTCTAAAAATCAATTGTTACAATTTTCTTTTGAAAGAATTTCATTAGATATAATTTTCATTAAACCGAATGTTATTTGTTCGAATTATTATTTTGCAGAATTTTCATATAAACGATTTTTCATATTACAGAATTTATACTTAACCAAAAAATCATTTAACAGAATTTCTAATTAATAGAATCGCATGGAAGGATTTTTAGTAGGAAATCTTATCTTTAAACATCTATTATAATAACAATCTTGTTTGTTATTATAAAGTTTAAATAAATGTGAATTAGAAAATTCAGTGTGAGGTTTACTTTTATTTTTTTTAATTATTTGTTTCCAAAAATGAAATTGTAATTGTATTATATACATAATTCTTATTCTTACTAATATAAAAAACAAAAATCCGCATTCAGCATTCATTGGATATTGAATATCGCTCTGTTTATTTATTTTTATTTTTTCGCATTTCCGCATAAATATTTCACCGCATGTTTGACATGAATATATTTATTGCTTACACTTTTTTATAAATACGCTTTTAGAAAATTAATTTTATCATTTTAGCATTAAGGAACAGTTTTAAAGGCAATCATGGAATTTAAATTTGAAATGTTTAAAATTAAAAAAAAGTTATTTATTCAGAAATCATTTCTATTGCTTTCTATTTTTCGCTAATGTCCAAAAATAATTTTTTAAATGTAAATTGAACATACATGAGCATTTTTTATATTTTTTCTTGAAACCTTTCAATTGAATGTATTTATAATTGATTTTTTTCATGTTTTAAAAGTTCCTTTAAAAGTCAACGTTTCCGTGGAACAAGAGCAATGGCCAGAGGGAAGCGATATAAGCATTTCCTGTCATGTTGATGGCTATCCCATTGAAAAAGTTCAATGGTACAAAGATGAAGTACCGCTTGAAACTAATAATCACATCAGGGTTTCTGGTAAATAAAAAGAAAAATTTTATTCTTGATGTATTTTTATACTTTAACTATAAAATATACTATAATTTGATAGTTAAAAAATTAATAATGATTGTTATAGATGCGAATAAGTTGGAAATTTTCGACTCAAATAGAAACGATTCTGGACAGTATCGATGCGAAGCTGCTAATCAATTTTCAAGTAGCACTCAAAGTGTAAACATAAATGTTGATGGTAAGCTAAAATAATACAAAATTTTAATATTTCTTAAATGGCTAATATATATATATATATGTATTATATATTCTTTTAAAAAAATCGAAGTAGAACCATTAAAATCACAAGAAAAAAGTATTTTTAGTTTACAATGCAGATCTTCTTTATTTCTACTATGTAACAAATTTTTAACTAAAATACTTCTTTTAATTAATTATTTTCAATAATTTTAATGAAATTCTTCACAAATTCAATTACCTTAAATTATTTTTCAATTAAAAATTTTACGAAATTAAATAGGGTCAGTTGGGGTAAATGGGGACAAAATCGCTATTTTTCACAAATTTCGTAAGTTTCTTCCTTTAAAAGGTAATATTTGCGGGTTTATTTTTTTTAAGTTGTTATTTAGGTACATTCCCAGGATTAATTTTATGCAGCAGAAAAAAATTTAGATAAACTTTAAACGCATGAAACTGACTGTTCCCATTTACCCCAAAATTTAGAAAATTGCATAAAATTTGGAGTGAATGGGGACAGCATAGTTTCTAAGAAAGTTTTAAGAAAAAAATTTCCTTAAGTATATTACTGTATTAAAGGATGAAAAAACTTGAAAAAAATTTGTAGTAGATATATAATAGTTGAACCAATTGAAAATTTTTTATTTTTTTTATTTCAATATTTTGTCTCGCATTTGAAAAAAAACAGACTTAAAAATCATACCAAATTTTTTTCTTATTCCTTATGACTCCCATAACAGAAATTCACTTGAATTTTTGATTTTTGTTAATTTGGTTAATAATAACAAGCTGTTCCCATTTATCCAAGTGAATTTCTGTTATAGGAGTCATAAGGAATAAGAAAAAAATTTGGTAAGATTTTTAAGTCTGTTTTCTTTGAAATGCGAGACAAAATACAGAAACAGTTTGACTTTGATTTTCAAGTTTTTATGCATTGAGCGATAACTTTTTTTATCTTGCTGCCAATTGTCAAGATAAAAGCTTGGCAATACTCAAAACCTCTTGCTGGTGATCTGAGGTTAAAATATTGACGTTGAACTTAATTTTAAAACTGTAAATTAAGCTCCAAAACGTCTTGTCCCCATTTACCCCAACTGACCCTAATTGTTTGAAATTTAAATAAAAATCAGCAAATAAAATTACCAAAATTGAAAATCACTTGAAATTCAATTATTTTCAAAAATTTAAATTTAAAACCTTCTATAATTTAATTATTTCTATAATTTTACACCTTAAACTTTCTGAAATTTAATAATTTTTCAATTATGACTCTTCCGATATTCAATTATTTTTAATGATTTTTTAATTATCTGAAAACATTTTTCAATCAAAAACTTTTGAAATAAAATTTTTGTCCGTAATTTCTAATAAATTTTTCAGCAACATAAATCACTCAAAATTTCAATCAAAAATCACTTGAAGTTCAATTATTTCCAAAAATCTGAATTGTAAATCTTTTAAAATTCAATTACTTTTATAAAATGTTATTTAAAATTATTTGAGAAATTCAATTATTACTAAAAATTTCAATTGTAACTCTTTCAAAATTCAATTATTTAAATTTATTTATTTATATTATTCAAATTAAAACTCTAAAATTAAATTGTTGAGAGAAATTTAAAAAAAAAAACTACAGAAGTTTAAATTTTATTTCAAATTTAAAATCTGCAATTCAATTATTTAAAAAACTGTAAAACTTAATTATTTTCCGAAATTTTTTTTACCATTAAAACTAAAAAAATATGCTAAAATTTTAAATTCAAATAAATTGCCTAAATTCTGAAATATTCGAAATAAATCTTCACTATATTCTTTGGATCCTTATTACGGAATCAATAAAATTAACTTAATATCTTAGTATCTTAATATCTTATCTAATATCTTATTAGTCATTTGAAGTAAAATATTTATTAATTAATTAAATTTAATTGAAATAAAAAAAGCCTTTTTCGACTTTTTTTGAAATGTAAATCGACTAAAACGACTTTTTTTGCGCTTTAAAGTTGATCCGAGGGCCTGCCTGCTAAATTTTTTTTTAATATCCTAAGATATTAAGTTGATATAATTAATTTAAAAAAAATAAATAATTTTAAATCGTTTTCAACTTTCAGGAATATTTATACATCCAAATTGCAAGGACAACGACTTTTTCGCCAAATGTGATTTAATCGTACTTGCAAATTACTGTCAGCATAAATATTATGCCAAATTTTGTTGTCGATCGTGTACACAAGCTGGCAAATTGCCAGTGAGAGGGTCTCATCTGGATAGGAGAAGAAGAAGAAGAGCTGCCTCTCTCATCTACTAAGAATCTTTTGAATCAATTCTCGATCGTTCGGACCAATGGGACACAAAATTTTCTAACTATTTTAAAGTGATTCATATATTTTATTAATTAAGTATTATGAAGGAAAATATTAAGAATAATCGATATTTAAATTTCTTCTCACTGCGCCGAATGCGTCGAATAATCGAGTCTTGTTCACTGCCAAAGCCTTAGAACGTCTATACATAGATAGCGATAGATAACTAAAAAAAATAAATCTTTTCTAGCGCGTCTTTTTTTTTATTTCGTATTTTTTCGATACAACGATCATCAAGCGCAGATTCCATGTATATACGATCTGAAGCTAAATCCTAGTCCGACGGAGTCATTATAGAAAGATGTATTTAAATAACGCCATGAATGGCATTCTACACTTTCATAAGACGATTTGCGACATCGTCGATCTCTGTCCTTCTTGATTGACTCGAAAGTAAAAATAAGAAAATATTTTTTTATTTTTTTGTCAATCGAAGCCACTAGATATTGATGTAAGAGTATATGCAACGTTTAAACTTTTGAGATTACTTTCTAGTTAGTATATAAAATATTCCAAAGAAGACAAATAATCGATTAACTTTTTATAAAATTTTTTATATACACAATAATTCAATTTTTTATGAAAATATTTTTAAGTTCTTTTGTCTTCTTAGGATTTTAAAAAATTTACTTTGTAAAATATAGTTTTATATCAAATCTCTATTTCTTTGGGGTGTCTGAATTTTTTTAAAAAATTTCTTTTTCTTTTATCAAAAAACTAATATCTAAAAAAAAACAAATTAAATAATTTTATTATTTCATAAAACATATGTATTTCAATCAGTCCAAACATATCATAAATTTTAAATGTTTATAAATTTTATTTAATAAAATAAGTCCAATTATTTGACGATTATTATTTATTAAAATCATTGTTTAAATGAATTTTATTTTTATAATTTTTAGATGATTTTTCTTCTCTAAAATATTATATAATTTATAATTTTTTTTTTCATTAAATTTTTATTTATTAAATAAATAATTTAGACAAATGTAATTTTTGATAAATGAAAATTATAACATGTAAAAAGACAATTATGAATAAAAAAAAGTTATCATAAATAGAAACTTGGTTATTCAGAATTTAAATTTACAGAAAAAAATACTTTAAATTGATAATTCAAATAAATAAAGAACATTATGAACAAGTAAAATGAAAATTAAAAATTTATTAAACTGTCTATTTGGGAAAAATTCAGGCGCCTTTATTTCTCTTACGTTATGATGACTATTGTATTAGTTCTTTCAATTCATTGCTGCAAATACTCATATAACAGTATACATAAATCACCAACAGTTATCATTGGAAAAACGTTAGGTTTCTCTTAATTACAGATTCTATATAAGTTCTCCAAGTCCTGAAAATGCAACATTTTTCATTTAGTTGAGTTAAGCAAGTAGATCCGAATAAAATGGTGCCAAGCGTTGCATTTTCAAAAGAGACGGAGTGTCTTTAAGTGTACAGTTTGTATTTTATACAGTGTTGAAAAAAATAAGTCCTTGAGAAAGTATTTTAGTGTTCCAAGTATTTTTTTCCTAATGATTTATAAGATCATTTCAATATAAAGATAAATAATACTTATATGTAAATATTATTCAAATATATTTTTATATATTCGAATTGACAAAGAAAGTAAAACATGAATGAAAAGATTTTAGCAAAAATATTAAATATTAATTTAGCAAAGCACATTCATTTTTCACTTTTTTTTGAACAAGGTTCTTTTGTTAATTCAAATATATAAATAAATATTCAAAAATTTTTACACAGATATTGTTTGTCCACATTTTGAAAAAAGCCATGAAAATCAGTATGAACAAGTACACAAGACGCTAAAGCACCCCTTTAATCTTTATAAATCATGATTGTATTCTAGTGTTTAATCGAAAAAATTTCATTTTATTCAAAGTAGACAAATTAAATAAATTTGACGATATCTTTTCAAAGAACACGTTAAGTTTGCCTCCAAACTGGTGGAAGGAACTTCTGTTTTGAACAAGAGTATATTTTGTCTACTCTATAAAACGAAGTCATGAAAATTAGATTAATAATAATTGTTATTATTGTTTCAACATTATTTCTCTGTGTTAGTTTAATCTGTAGTGTTTGACTTCAATCATGAATCATGTGCCTTACTAGATGTTGTAAAAGTATTTTTAAGAAGTGTATTCGAATCAGAGATTTTCCCAATGTAAATGGTTGAATCAAAATTTTTAAAATTCCTTTCCCAAAATTTAAGAAAAACTGATTGATTAATACCAAAAAGTTCCTGTGCATATTGTTTTCTAATGTTACTGATGTATTTAAATTTTAAATTGAACTTTTTAAAATCTTTTCTACTCTGTTCTGTATTAAAATTTCAAGCACTCTTTTGTCAACACTGTTTAGTTGTATTACGTGTAACTGAGCGGTAACAAAGATTATATATTCATCATTTCAAACGTGTCAGATTTTTTGACAATATTGTACATAATCAACAATCAATCCAAGTCGTTTTTATATCTTTTCTATGTATAACATTTCAAGGCATTTTTGTGAACATTATTGAAATTTTTAATAAGTTTAAATTTTCATATCAGCAACAAAATCGACTGCTTAATTTTCAAAAATACTATTGATAGAAAACCACAAAAATTCTTAAACATAAAAATCTATCTTAAAACATCATATCTAGAATTTTATATAAAAAACATTCACACTTTTATAATATTTATAAATTGTTTATATTCAATTGTGGTGAAGAAATCCTATGAAATTTTGTCTCATATTGATCAATATTTATATAACAATAAATGTTTATGAAATAAAATATAAAACGATAATTTAAATAAAAAAAATATATCGTAAATATTATATTAGTAGTTAATAAATTCTATAATAAGATATATATGTAAAAATGATAAAAGAATAGAAAAAAGATAAAAATTTTCAGGTAATTTTATCACCACATTAAATTATTAATGAATCATTTATATGTTATCCAGAACTTACACCCAAAATCTTTTTATATTAATGTTATGTCATGGATATGTGGGCAAAGAACGTTTTTTTGTAGTTTAAAACTTTCTTTGAAATAAAAAAAGATTTTGGATTAAAATTTTGGAGGGTACTAGGAATCTCGCTGTTCTACTCATTTACTATAACTTAACGCAAAAATAATAAAAATAACGCAATAAATAGTAAAATAATGCATATTATCATAATTTATTCATCGGCCACTAGCTAAAATTGGCGCTGCCTTCTAGAACACTGACTGATAATTTTTAATTATTTAATGCAAAATGATGTATTTTTCGGATAACAGCGAGATGCATTGTATACCTTTTTCTCTAATCTCTCAAAATTTTAGAGAAAAATCTTTTCTTATTTTAGAGTAAGATGGATACTTGCAAAATACATCTTCCCATACTAGATCACGTGGGAGGTTTCCACACACCCTTAAATTGATTACTATAAGAAATGTGTAATACAACAAATGAACGAAAAAATCTGCAAAGCAGACTTGGTTTTATTATAGGTAAAATTATACAACTATTTTAGGCATCTCTTAGACTAGTGTAATATTTTTTTTACCGTCGGTACTGTGGAATAAAATTTCTTTCTAATTTTCTCTTATTTCAAAAAAATGTTATTAAAAAAATAGAGATTTTTAAGAAGAATCATATCTGTAGTTTGACATTGTTAAATGTGCAAACACGTCATATCTAAGCGCTATCCTGACGCACTAGGAAATATAATTGTAACTGTAAGTATTTTTTAGGAATAAGAATATATATACGGATTATAAATGATTATAAGAAAAAGAGATTAGATAACGATGAATGCCATACTACGAATATTGTACGGACAATAATAATATTTAAGGTTTAAGACAGTTTGTTCAATTAATTTTAGTTGAAACCTTGAACCTCACACTTTTAGAACTTGATAATTTGGAACAAGAAGGAACTTTAATTGACTCCATTAAAAATAGCTTATGCTTCAATTAACATTGTTCTCTCTATTCTTTCAGTAGCTAATCTCTCAATTTCAGCAAATAACTCGCTATGGATTGCGATTACTTTTCGAAAATCGGTTCTATCTAAGCGATATACTTCGCAAACGTCGACTGCAACTACACTTGCAACTCTTTTTTGGTCTTGAATTAACAGAGCAACTTCTCCAAAATGAGCGCCATCCTCCAAATGACAAATCTGCATTTTAAATAGTTATTTTTAGTAAAATTATACACAAATAATCCCCCACAGCACCGAAAATTTCCTAAAGATTTATTTGCAAACTTCGGAAACTTTAATTGCAAAGTTTAGAGAAAATTGTATAAAGATTTAAATGTCCAAAATGAGTAAATGTTTGGCGTAAAACTTGACGGAAGATTTAAATTAAATTTTCCAGAAATTTTCGACGCGAAAATTGAGTGAAGATTTAAATTAAAGTTTCGTGAAATGTTTGGCGTAAAAGTTGACTAAAAATTTAAATTAAATATTTATTAAAAATTTATACCGAAAGTTGAGTGAAAATGTAATTTAAATATTTAGTCAATTTTTGTGACGAACATTTCCTAAAAATTTAAATTAAATTTTCAGAAAAGGTTGGACGAAAATATTTGTAAAAAATACAAAAATAATATTTAAGAAGTATTAATATTATTATTAATATTAATAATAATAATAGATAGATAGATAGATAGATAGATCTTTATTATTATTATTATTAATTCTATTTCATTTTCCTTTTTTATTCGGCCCAATTGTTTATTAGTACCGGGCCAGTACTAATAAACAACCGTTGCGGTACCAGACCGGTTAAACTAAAAAAAAACTTTATTATTGTTTATTTTATTATTAACATATTTATATTAATTAATTCATTATTATTTCTTAATTAGAAACAGTAAATAGAATGCTGAAACAGAGTTACAATTAAAAACATTATAAAAAATTAATTAAAATTTGACTAACCACTAACCTGAACCTGCTTATGCATATTCGACCCAGCTGGGGCGAATCTAAGTCGAATTTGGGTAATTAAAAAAAAAAAAGCTTTTAATTGATGAAAAATTTTTAAAATAAGTATTGGGAGGGTAAATGAACATTTATAGAGTTAGTTTTTGCAAGAATTTCAATTATTAAAGTGATAAATAGTATATAATCACCTGATATGTACAAGTGGTACATATCTGTAGATTTTAACTCGTCAGTTTTCACCATATTTTCAAGAAATTAAAGTAAACTGTGTGAAAAAATAATTTATATTTAATATAAATTGCAAATTTTAATAAATTATTTTATTATTTAACGAGCACAGTTCATAATTTAACTAAAAAAATAACAGTTTTCTTAAAAGTGACAAGAACTCTATTGTACCGACCACACACGGTAAAAGTGCGCGAATATGAATGCGCATGATCTTCTAGCTCGAAAATTCAAATTGTATTTTACAACTTTTTGATATTATAAATAAAAATTAATATTTAAACTCCTCCTCTCTGCAGAATGAAAGATTTCTACTCGAGGATTAAAAAATTCGAAATGAAAAAAAAACAAATTTTAATTAAACAATATTTAGTCCCATCCCATTAATAAAAAATGGTGAATTTTTTTCATTAAAAATTAAGATTTAAACTCCTTTCCTTTGCCGAAAGAAAAATATCTGCTCGTGGTATAAAAAATTTTAAATTGACAAAATATTTAATTTTTTAAATTGACATTATTTGATTGTCGTACCATATGAGGCAAAATTCCTGAAATGTCCGAACAAAAATCCGGCAGCTAAAAATATCGGGTCAAAAATGTTTCAATACGCCATTTTGAATATTTAAAAACTGACTTCAGAATCGTAATGAGCGAACTAAAAAACCAAGGAGTAGAAAGATTTATTTAAATTTGTTAAAAGATTGTTGAAAAATGAATTTTCTCTTAAAAAATAGCAATGTTTATACTTAGTTAATTTATAATTCTTTATAATTTTGCCTGCTACACTTATTATTTTTGTTTCACTTCACAATGCTTTCGTTATAGTGGAAAAAATGTTTTATGAATACTGCTTCAAAAACTTTAAATCTATAGAGAGGAAAGTTGCTAAAAGAAAAAGTGTCAAAATAGGTTAAAACTGTGCCGCAAAAAATTAATGAGTAAAATAACACATCGAAAAAAATTAAAAAATTTTGTTACCTTAAACGTAATAGAACATAACTTTTTTAACTTTTTTGTTTTAATCTGTATCGAAAAGGGTTAAAGAAAAAAAAGTTTACTTTTGGGAGTATTTTAAGAGAAAATTAAAAAAAAAATTTTTCAAGAAGAATTGAATTTTTTAAAAATTTAAAATTTGAATAATTTTTGAATTTTTGGGCGGATTAGTCTGTCCAACGAACTCAGGCTTCATTTTTACATGTTGAAAGCGTGTACCAAATATCAAAGCGATTCGTTAAGATATGTTCAAGTTATCGTGGGGACAAAATGAGTCCACAGACAGACTACAGACAACAAACAGACGGACAGGATTTCAAAACATACTTTTTTGGCATCAAGAGGTCTCAAAACGTACAGATTCACTAAAATTTGAAAAAAGTCAAAATCGACCAAAATGAATACTTTCTAACTTATGATGAGAATTTAAAAAATCTACAAATAAATGAATTTAAACCAATTCAAAAGTAAATAATCGAAAAAATACGAAATTGTGGTATAAACAACGCAATATAAACTATTTTAAAATAGAGGAATTTTTGAAAACAATTGCAATGTTTGGAAATGGAAAACAACAGTTGGAGTTATAAAAAAAAAAACGTCGAGATTCACTGGAATTAGAGAATGCTCAAAATCGCCCAAATGTAATTCCTTCTCATTATGATGAGAATGTAAAAAAACCACTGCAAAGTTGAAGTTTACTTCCTAAACGCTTGTAATAAAACCTTAGTCTTGAATTTTGAAACATACTTACAATTAGTTAAAAATTCCTGTATATAATCCTTAAAGGATTTCTAGAGGTTACTATATAGGATTCTTATAGGTTCCCTGAGGAATCCTGTTAAGAATTCTACACAGGATCACACTAGGATCACTTGCAGGATATTGGAACAGGGATCCTGTACAGGAACTTTTGCAGGAACATTAGTTACTAAATTTCCTTTGCAAATTTCTGTACAAGAAAAATTATTAAAAGAATATATATATTTTCCATTTAAAGAAATTTCTGCATTAAAATAAATTAAGCTACCAAGGAAATTAAAAGCTATTTAATATTTTTGAATCAGTCGGAAACTGTATTGAATTCGCATTATTAAAAATAAATCTCTAATTGAGTTTGATTCAAATCATATTTACATTTTTCAAGCTATTCTTCCTGATTACCTGTAAGTTGAGATACAGTGGTATGTTTCTTTTCAATTTTAAAGGCAGCAAATCTAACACTTCAGCGTAAAATTTATTTACAAAGTTCGTTTATTAAAAATTATTAAATTTTGTGTGAAATATGACAATATAACTTAAAATTTTTCGATATAATTCAAAATTGTCTGAACAGATGCATTACATTTTTTATTAATAGCAAATTATTCATTGAAATGATTTTTTATTTAAAATCTTACATTCCAATTCAAAAAGTTAAAATAATGAATCCGCATTCTTAAAATTCCTGATTCACTAGACGGTGCATTTAATAATCATTTCTTTAATGACTAGTTATGTTAGATAAAAGATTGTACATAGAATTTTAATTAGAAATTTATGATATATGTATTTCAACGAAAATTGCCTTGCAAATAGGTCAATTAATGTGTTTTTAAATTTTCTTTAAGTATGTCATATTAGTTCTAAAGTAAAATTAAGATTTTTTAATATAAAATTAGAATTGGAATTCTATAAATGGCAGCAATCTAGCATAAAAATCGTTTGTGGGCTCAAAACGGTCCAAAAAAAGTTTCCACAGAAATATCATATAATTGTATTAAAAGTTTTTGGGGTCATTGAATTCAAAAAGGTCAGATTTAAAAAAATCTAAAATAGCGGACCTAATATGGCTACCCAATATGACGGAAAAATTTCAAATTGATTCCATTCATTTAAAATTCGGTGCTAGGGGGTTTTTGGGGTCGTTGAATCAATTTTGGGGATAGATTTAACAGATTCAAAATTTGGACTCATAGACGCCAAAAAAACACCAATACCGAATTTTGAACGAATCGAATCAATTTTAAAATTTCCTCCATATTGGTATGCAATTTTGAATTTTTTAAATTTTACTTTAAATTTGGATTCAGCGACTCCAAAAACTCCTAAGTACAAAATTTTAAACGAAACAAATCAATTTGAAATTATTCTGCCATATTGGGTTCGCCATTTTGAAATATTTAATTTGAACACAAATTCCGATTCAGCGAGTTAGTAATCGAAAACATAAGAAATTCTGGTATAAACAACGCAATATAAACTATTTTGGAATAGAGGATTTTTTAAAAAACAATTGCAATGTTAGGAAATGGATAACAATGGTTGGACTTAAAAAAAAAAAAAAAAAAAAATTCGGTATTTTATGAGTAAGTTACTTTAATTTATGTTAATTTAAGGTGGTTTAAAGAGAAATAATACATAGTTGCTCATATTTTCTCAAAATAAAGTAATTTTGCCCTGCATTTTACCCATTTTTCATCCGTTTTTGTCATTTTTTGTCTTTTTTTAAAAAAGTGGTATAACTTTTTTGTTTTAATCGCTATTAAAAATTGTCAAAGGAAAAAAGTGTTTATTTTTAGTCGTAATTTTCGAAAAAAAATTGAAAAAATTTTTTTTTTGAAAAATGCGAATTTTAGAATTTTTTAAAAACTAAAAATTTGAATTATTTTGTTGTTTTTCAACGAAATCATCTGGCCAACGAACTCAGGCGAGATTTTGGTACACTTAAGGTGTATACCAAATTTGAAGTCGATTCATTAAAATTTGTTCGAGTTATCGTCGGACTAAATTTTGTCTACAGACATACAGACAGACAGACATTTTTTTAGGACCCATTTTTTCGGCATCAGAAAGTCTCAAAACGTCGAGATTTACTAAAATTAGAGAATGCTCAAAATCGCCCAAATGTAATACCTTCTCATTATGATGAGAATGTAAAAAATTAAAAGTTCTCGAATTTAATCCATACTTTTCTAAAATGTTGTTATTGTTGGTGAAAGTCTAAAAATTAATTATTATTGAATTTA